GACAATTTCCGAAGCCGCCCGGCTCCAGAAAAGCGTGGTGTGTATTCCCGTACAACGCAGCAGATCACGAGCTCAGAGCTCTCGGGCCAGAACTGTGCTGCACGTGCCTCCAAAAGGCGCAGCGCAGAGCCGGGGTGTCGCGGGGAGGAGACACGCGTGTCTGCTGGCAGCGGAGTCCCGGGGGGGGGGGGGATTTGCGAGGCGGAAAGATTCACAGCCAGGAGCCCGCCGAGGTGTTGCTCGGTGGCAGAAGGCAGGAGCTCCGCAGAATGCGCTCCAGCGCCCGGGAGGTGCGAGAATCATCACCCTTCACCAATATCAGGCTCGTCCCACACTTTCGCAAATGGGTGATGTTTTTGCAGCCCGTGATCCGTGCGCTCAGAAACTACCGCCTGCTGTAGTCCGCCAGCGTGTTCACACCCTCACAAAAGCCGGGGACAGAGGGCCCTTCGTCAATGCAAACACCTCTCCCATTCTCATTTTAAAGTCTCTTCTCCCAAAACGCCATTTGCTTATTAATGTTCTCTAGCTAAGCGAGACTAACGCGCATTTCTTTCATGACATCGGTGCAGCTTGGCTGCGAACGCAGGGCCTGCAGGGTTATTATTTCAAAAGCTGCGTCTAAGCTCAAGAGCGACTGTAGCTGCAAATAGAAGTTAATGGAATAGCTGCGCCTGAACTGTGTTAAAATAAATGCGAAATCACAAAATTTCCTATTTCCCTTTTCCATAAACTCATGGAGAAAGATGAGGTATTTCTGAGGCAGGTGAAATCACCTTTTTAAAAAATTGTTCCTGTGTTCTACATAACTCAAGGGGAGACCTGACCACACCCCTCACCACATCTGAGCTCTTCATAGTTCTTTGATTTCCCGCCGGATTAATTAAATATACCAAGATAATTTCCCCAATTTTCAACCTTCGAATAAGCTCGGAGCGCACGCACGCGTGGGCGGTGGAGCGGATGAACAACTGAAAAACATTCTGGTTGTCGCGCACTGGCCGTTTCTGGACTTGATGGAGAACATCTTACGGGCAACAGCTGGCTGCTGGAAATGACTCAAAATTCACAGAATTACGCCAACGCAGAAGCGCACGGCGAGCCCCCCTGCCCTCCAGCAGACGGTGGCGGGGCTGTAAAACAAAATGTCTTGACACCTCTCAATCTGTAGAGCTCTGCTCCAGCCGGCCAGCCCCGCGCCCATCTGTTTCACCCCGTGCCATTCCTCGGCTCCACGCGCTCACAGCTTCCACACTTCCCAACCTGTTGCGCGTGCGCGTTCGCAGCGAGGCGGCGGCTGTTTAACCCTGCAGACCCCCCCCCCCCCGTGCTTTCATAAGCAGACAATATACAGCACATTCTCTAAGCCGAAATTGCACTAGTTGTACTATTTAATAATCGACGTAGTATTCTTGCACTGTTACTTTTGCACTGCTTTTGTCCTGTCTGTATACTTTTTTTCATTTTGTGTATTTGCACAGTTTTTGACAATTTTGCACTGGCACCATACTGCTTACACTGTTATTGCATTTCTGTACATTGTCCTGTCTGCTGTTCTATATATATATACTGCACCCGAGAGACTAATGAGAAACACTTTTCACTATACTATGCACCCGTGTAAGTATAATGACAAATAAAGTTGAATTATCTCTAACCGCTCCGTCCAATACAGCATACCCACTGGTTGGACACCTTTTGCCAATCCGTTGTACCATTCGACTCAGTAACATTATTGAACGCTCTATGCTTTCCTATCGGGTCAAATACAAGCCGATCTGCAAAAGTCTCATGTTAGTTTACGGGAGGCAGCGGGGTGGCCGCCTGATGCACCCGAACACCCTAA